ACATCAATCCATTAAACCAAATGGATAGAGTAATAACAATACAGTTTCAACTGCCAACAGAGCAGCTAGCCATATCTGAGGATACTATGCTAAACCCAGAAGAAGAGGAAGCACTTTCAAAATGTAGTCAAGCTGAACACTTAGTTAGTGTCAAAGCATATAGTTGCCTTAGAGAGATCATGTCACAGGTTTGTGCTTCAAGCAGACTTAAATATCAAAACTCTTAACTTTCTTTTGTAAATTTACATGGTGTATTGGCAACTTAAAACAATTGTTATACTTGCTTAGTCACCATTACTGCAAGTAGTTCTATTAAGAAGATGATTAACATGTCATTTGTGGATCACATAGTCAGAACTAAATGAATTCATAGTTAAGTATGGGCCTCTGATTTGGAAACATGTATTCAGTTCAGAATACCATTTTTGAACTGGGGACATCACAAGAGTTGACTTGAAAACCCTAGTGGCACCTTACAATGAAATGAAAATGGACAGCAACATCTTCAAAGTAAGAGTCAAGAAAACAAGATCTATGTCAACTGGTTCCTGTTATTCTGCTTCAATTATGAAACTAAAGCTCTAATTTTTTTAGAAAAACTTAGCCCTTAAGGAATAATCAATTCTTGTTATTAAAGTTGAGGACTTCATTTAAATGATGCAGGCTGTTATGTGCATGTACATATGTATGCTGACATATTACAATTCCTTTACTCTCTAGCAACAACAGCGCCCAAATGTACAGCAACAGTTTATGCCTCCCCATGCACAGGGTCCTTGGCCTCAAATGGGAGCACCCTCTTATAGCAACCCACAGCCTGTGAGTATTGTTACTCCAACTAATCATAAGATTTTTTTTTGCTTGCAGTTCCTAGTATTTATATTGATACTCAATGAAAGTAACCTAAACCATCTTATTATAAATAATGATTTTTCTTGTAGACCCATCCTTTTCCTTCATGGTTTCAAGGAGCATTTGGAAACGTCTTTCAGGGTTATATGAATGTGGCCCAGGTAATTTTTTTTTGTTTCTACAAAGTGGCCATTTACTTTCTGCAATTTTGTTTGACTTCTGTTTGCTAGCTGTATTCCCCTCCAAGGAGTTGCAGTGACTCTCCTTCATTAACTGTTGTAGTTGAGATTGATCTTAAGTAATTTGTTCCTCTGTGTAATTATGTTGTAGATGGGAGTTAAAGTTCACTTGTCATTTCCATCCAAGTTTGCCGGCTCCTTGATTGGCAAAAAGGCTTCAAATCTTCACCACATAAAGAATTTCAGTGGAGCTCATAAAGTGCATGTGTTTCCTAAAGATCGTGATGCACCTGAGAGATATGTTGAGATCATTGGCACTCCTTTGCAGCAGTACCTAGTAAGCTATTTCATCTAAAGATAGCTAAAGGGAGCTAAAATAAGTAGGTTACCCACTACAAATTTTCAATACTTATACTATACAAGTCAAAATGTACAAAGGTATTTACTAATTTATTCTATTTTAACATTTAGACAATGTGTTTGTCTGTTTTAATATTTATTGCAAGAAATGACGCTAGTACTGGTGATAATTAACTTTGTTGTAATTATGTCTCCTTTGCTTGACAATTTCAGGCTCAACACTGTGTTTATTGTAAGCTTGCAGAGGAAGGTTACAAAACAAATTCAGGGGAAAATTTTGGCGAACTAAAATTGAAAATAGAAATTTTCATACCTCTCAAACCAGGAAGTAAGGATCAGCCCAATGTAATAGGCAGATTTATTGGTAGAGATGGCCAAAATGTAAGTGGGGAGAACTCATTCCTCAAATTTGTTTATATTTTGAAACCTTTTAGTGTTGTCTTGTTGCCTTTCACCTTCATGCAGGAAAGAATCTCAAAATTGTTCACCATCATCTCCTGTGTTCCTTGATTTTTTTTTTCCCCAAAAAAGAAATGAGTCAAAAGTTTGTTATCCATATATTATTGTTGTGATCTCTATCTGGTCCAACTATGATATCTTGTCCAGTTTAACCTTGTGCCCCCAAATGATTTTGGGTAAGGGTGAATCTCAGAACCACACATTTTCAGTCTTTTGAGCATTTTCCTGGGTTCTAAAAGGACAGTACTTTATGGAGATTTGTATTTGCATTTGTAACATACCAATTTTTTTTTTATCTGTTTATTCTGGGTTAGGTTAAAGAACTGCAAAGACAAACAGGAGTACGCATTAAAGTTGTTTCAACTAGTGAAGATACTGATAGTAATGAGGCAATTATAGTTATTGAAGAAAGCTTTGCCAGTGGCCAGGTTAGTGCACAAGTCACCATTTTAGGAGTGATTGCAGTGATGAACCCAAGCTGAGCAAATATTTTGATTAGTGAAGATCTTAGTGAAGACCAGCAACATAGAGAAAACTGGCACTGACACCATTTTTTCCCTTAGATATTGTTTTGAATTCCTCTTTTGACCAATAACATACCACAGGTTACATTATCACTGGGTGTTGATTTAATATGTATGCTTTAAGTGTTTCTCTAATCCAATATTTGACTTAGATTGTTTGTTCTTATAGCGTGCTCAGATGCAAATTCTTGATGCCATAGTTCGATGTCAATCTCCCCCACCAAGGAGGCAACAGGTGCCTTACAGCTGAAAGTGACTCAAGGCTAGGAAATGTGCACATTCGCTGTATCTTTCATATGTTCACTCTGCTCACAGCATCTTGTATTCTATTGTGATCTGTTGTGGTGAAGCTTACCAGGTGTATTGTTGGTATAAGCTGCTTGTCACCAGTGAGACACTGAGCACCTTACTTCGAAAACTAATGGATATGACGTAATCAATCTTGAACCTTTGTAGTATTTAATGCAATGCCATGTAATCTTGAAGTCATGTGTGCCACTAATCATATGTGAAAATACTTTTTCTCACACTTTGTGGCAAGTGTTTCAGGCAAGCTTCTTTGATGTGTAATTGGGAATTTCTTCAGGAGTTAATTTTAGGCCATTCCACACCCCAGTCTAGATTAAATTCCTATGCATGTTTGTACCTTTTATAGTATTTTAACATTTAAGTTGCTCAGGCCCTTTTTTTTTTTTTTCCTTTTTTTGCTTTAAGTAGCTTTAAGTAGATTGCTGATAAAGGTTGTAATTTTTAAGGAATATTTTAGGCATGCTTGCTGTTGCCTTTTCACCCTGAAAGGGGAAGTAGTTGTTTTTCCTTCAAATGGGATAAGTGACGGCTTCTGGTTTGTCAGCCTTTGCAATTAGTTTCTTTGTGGGGTTTTGTCCTTGTCACTTCATAATTGGTTTAATTATTAATTGCTCACAGAACAGCATCAATCCTAACACCGTGTTTATTTCAGTCTAAGTTGGAGATAGATAAAAGCTTTTGTTTTTCATACGTGGATTTAATTCTTAGCTTCTCCATACCACTGAACAGTGAACAGTCAGTTGAAATACATGTATTGCTATTAGCCTCTGCTAGCTTCTCTTAACTCAAAAGAGTTTGTCAAAAGACTGGACAGTGCTTGGGTGGGGTTATAATTGAATGATTGTAATTTTAACTACTGTGTAGTTTAAGTGACAGTGACCCAAAGCTGGCTGAGGGACTCAACACGTGGTAGCATTGATACTACTCTCCTACTGTACACCATTTTCATGGTACTTATCTGGGATTATTATTGATGGACCATATACGCCCATATTTTTCTCCAGATTAAATTATTTTGAACTGGCATGTTGTGTTGTTTGGTTTGTTAGATTTTGTTCTTATAGTTTTTTCAGTGTATGGTTAGGGTTAGGGGTTACTTGGTTTTCAGTATTGTTAAATTAGCAGCTGAAAGACAACATGTGTTGGTTGAAGCATCAATGCCAGCGTTACAAAGTTTTTTCTGTGGTAATTAGTTTATTTCCTTTTTAAAAAAAAAATACATTGAAAGTTCATAACAACCTTAGAAGAAGAAAAAAGTTCAACTTATGGTGACCCCCTTGGCCCATGAAAGCAAAATCCCCCGAATTCATTCTATTTTTGAGGGAAAGAATTCTTTCTTTTTTATTCCGTCAACGAGTGTAGATCTTAATGTCGAACGATCAACGAAGAGTACAAAACCATGCATCATCATGTTCTGTGTAATATTTAATCCGACTTAATTTATTCACACATTTGTGCTGACTTTGGTCAGGCATGATAAGAAACGCGCTTATCCTGCAGACCGCGGAACTCTGCTTCTTTACACTTCCTACAGTGTGCTGCACTTAATACTAAATTTAATAATGATATCGTTTCGACCAGTCAAATTTTTTCAAATATCGACAACCTATGACAACCTGGATATGTAGAGGCTATTATTTTAGGTGCCTTATAGCTGGATGGGGGGTCACATTTAATAAAAGCAAGAATGTTCATGGTTGACCTCTCTGACTTGAAGGAGTCGAGGTGTCTGCAGCTGCTAAAGTAATTGAGACGTCTACTTGGAATAATTTGTCAGCAGACACAGTGACTCAATCACATCTGCTAACACGAGGCAACGCTCTTAGCAAGTGCACCTGCCGACGGAAATCATTACGTGCGGAAATTTTTTTGGGCTAAGTCCCCGGCAAATGAAATCAAACCTCGACATACCACGGAGAGCGAACATTGTATCAGAAACAAATTATATTTTCGGGCACAAAAGTATGCGAATTAGGTCGAAAACATGGCGGATATCCAAGCTTTACTTCTTGAGAACGATTCACAAAATTTGTATTTAGTCCCCAAGGATGCCTTAATGTAAAAATTCCAGGATGATTCTTTTCTAGTCAGTCGCGTGATTTTCACCTACACAATATTTCGTGTTTTCAAACTCCACAGGATATTTCCTTCCAAAGCCCTCGGGTGATGATAATTAACATTAATGACTTCTTGCTCGTCTGTATTCAGCTCAAAGTCAATTTAATGCACGTCTGCGCTAGCCAATCAAAGGCAGCCAAGACACAGAACACTCAAAGCGTCATTTAATCGGTTTCACGTGTCGGACACAATTGCATCAGAAACTTTTGCTCTTTATTTCGTACGCCGTGGGTACAGTCCTACTGGAAGACGTCACTTGGTAAGAATTTATGCAGTATTTTACATTTAACCAGTTATATTTCATGTAAGTAAAATTTTACTCGTGAAGCTCTCCTTTTGGGAACCATTTTCTCGGTAGCATGTCCATTTCTATTACCTGATATCGTTTACGTTGGTTAGCGCATTGTCCACATGTTTAAGGCTCTAAATCGGTCGTTAAGGAGGTTCGCGACTTTTATTTACACCAATTTTACGCTATACGGAGCGAAGCAGCCTTGTTCTGTTAGGACTTACGGCAACACACCTTGTAAGAAGATCCCTTCTTACCAGGTAATTGCTTAGATCGGAAATCAGTTTTTTCTCAATCACGACGAGAAGCGGAGAGTGACTCATTGAATCGAAATTTATTTTGGCCACTTAAGATGGATTGTGCGTTTGTGTTCAACTATTAAATCATACCAACCTGAGAGATGTATTGGTGGCAAAACTGTGTGAAGTCGGATATGATCTAGGTCACTTTTCACATATATTATTACAGACCGATATGAACCTCGCTCGGCCTTCTGAACACGTGTGACGCATTCGTGATGTCATTGCTCATTCTAATTATCTATCTCGTGCGGAAATTTTGTTGTAGTTATGATCATAACCATGGTTTTTAACACAGTTCTATGAACAGAACGTAGAAATTCACTGTAGGAAACGTTGCTATGTAACCTAGCAAGCTTTATGAAATTGTGCCAAACACTTTGGCACATAATGTATAACAACATATCACGGACTCAAGATGGAAGTGTTGGAAATAATCCAATCTTATCTTTAAATTGAGGGACCTGTGGTCGCCTGTTTTAGAATACAATTTGTATTTTCTCCATATTTCCCCCAATTTCTCCCTAAGTGCCACTAACCCCTAAAAGTTGTTTTGTCAAACCAATTTGAAATTATCGTTATCATTTAGAGAGAAAGCAGTCACCTGAAAACATAGGAAAGAACCATAGAATTATGCCCAGAGGATGGTTCACTCTTCATACCATCCCATATTCTGAGGACAACTGTCCTGAAGCAAAGAAATGCAGAAGAAAATAAGTTGATTTCTCTCAAACATGTTGGTGGGCAGGCATGATTCTGGCCACTCGCAAGCTATTTTAAATCTTTTCCCTTTAAAGTTTATCTCTGACCAGGATATCTTTTACTGACTTTCCTTTTCAATATCACAACAGGGTATGGTTGGTTTTGAATAAGATGCCATTTCTCCATCTCTGTTCTTGAAGTTAGGTAAAGCCAAGTGAAATTGTGTTACAGAAGGCAATATTTTCTTCTGTTTGCTATTTTCTTTTTATTTTGAGTGACCTTTCTTTCCCAGAAATATTAATTTTAAAGATGGTTATACAAAATCTCATCTGGATGTCCCCTATACTTCAAGCACATTTTGAAATTCTGTATGTTTTAATTAAATGTGGAGTGAAAGAAATGTGTTTTAAGGAAGGGTAGTGCTTCTCCTTTTATGTAGCCTTTATTTACACCTGGAGGATGATGCAAATAAAAATTTGAATATTGGAAGGGCTCTGTCTCTTTATAATGTGTTGTACGCAAAGTGTTGATCCCCCATTAATTGCTCGCCTTTGTACACTTTTGTGTCCAAGAATTTAATTTCTGAGGCAGATTTATCAACCCTGAATTTATTTATCTGTTAGTTGTTAATTTGAGAGGTTCGTGATGTGCTGCTTGCATGACTCGATCTTTTATCCTTCCACCTTTGTCTTTGTTTTAACCATTTGCTTTGTTTTGTTTTGCTTTTTTTTTT